ACATGTTAAAATTAATAAAAATTATACATGAAAATTTTTAGAAGTATTTTTTTATTGTAATTGATTTGTTATTAAAATTTTTAAAATTGACAGCTGACGGCCAACTTCAGTATCATAGTAATCATAGTATTTTTATTAGTATCGTAAGTAATAGTATTATATTTTTTTACGAAAATAAACTAATATTGTTATAAAATATACAAATTTTATATTCAATAACACAATTAAAAATTTTCTGTAAAAAAATTATTACTAAACGACACGGATTTTAGGTTAAGAAATTTGTTTTTTCCTTCCAATAACTGCATGAAATATAAAAAAAAATTTAATGAAAAAAAAGTCATAACCGGAAAAAATAAAATTTCTTTAAGATCAATAGGTAAATTAATATTATAATAAAATAAATATAAAAGAAACAGTGGTTGGTCACAAAAAAGTCAAATGTAAACAATACACTCTTACATTCAAAAATAGCGACACCAAGCGTAATTTACTTGAAGCGAGATTTGTTAATAGTTAACAAATCTTTATTTGAATGAAATAAATGAGTCGATTCAATTAAATAAACCAAAACGAAGTAGTATTTGACTCAAAGTAATATATATTTAAATAAAAGAAATTTGTTAACATTAAATAAATATTTTTGATTCATCCCTGATTAAAAAAAAGTATTGAAAAGTATTGAAAAAGTATGTAATTCAATACTTTTTCAATACTTTTCACACACTGTATATCTATATATACATACAATATAGATATACAGTTGCATGGTTCAATACTTTTTTTAAATCAGGGATTTCAAATAAATCTGTGCCAAACAAATCGTTTTCTCAGTGTACAAACTAATTATAAAAATTGACTTGATTAAACAAAAGAAACGTCAATTAAAGAAGATTGTTTTGAAGAATTTATTGATTTAAATTGAGCAGAAAAAATTGTAACTCAAGTTAAATTTACTCAATTTAAGTTAAGAACAATTTCTTCATTCAAAACCTTTCAAGCCGATGCAACATAATTAAATTAATCACGATACTACTTCAAGTTCCTCATGTGTATTAAAAAAATACTTCGAAAACCATATATCAATCGAATTACATTCATAATTTTACTAATTTTCTTATTTTTTTTAAATTAAATAAAAAACAATTATCAATTTTCTCACCTGTCTATCATTCAAACCCAAATCTCTGGCGACTTGGACTCTTTTTAGACGACACAAGTACTTGCCCTGGGAGATGTACTCTTTCTCTAAACGAAGAAGTTGATCGTTAGTAAAAACAGTTCTTTCTTGGCGCTTTGAATTTGATCCTGTAATAAATAAAGGAGAGTTATTAATTTCTGTACATTAAATTCAATGAATTTTTACTTAAAAATTTGAATTCCCAGGTGAAAAGTATACAAGAATAGTCCTAAACTGATAGAAGGATTTGTTTATAGTTAAAAATATTTGTTAATATTTAACAAATCATTTATTAAAAGCCATCTTTTAGTCCCCAACAAATATTTCTTAGTATTTAAAAAGATTTACTAATATTTAATAAATGAATGTCAGATTTATTAAATACAAACAAATCATTTTAAATACTAAAAAATATTTATTTAATGCTAAAACGTGGTCTCTTATTAATGATTTTTTAACTATTAACAAATATTATTTAATACAAATAATTCCTTCTATCAGTGTATAATATACATATGAAAGTAATGACTCAAGTGGAGTTAGTTAAAGTATTGCAATAAATTTAAAATTCATTATTTAATTACATATATCACTTTTAATTAACAACTGATTAAAAAAATAAAATCCTTCAATTCTGAAGAATAATTCAATTAAATAATTAATAGTATTTTTTTATTGTTACTAATTAACACTGTTAATAAATAAATCGAATTGTTTTCATCAATAACTGAAAAATGATTTAATTTGAAAATAAAACAAAAAATTGAACTAAACTTTTCAAATAGTGGAATCAAAACTGCGCTGACATACAATTTTTTATTAATTAAGATGTTATTTTCTCTCCGTAATATACTTTAACAAAATTTTTTAAGGTAAATTATAAATATCCATACATAGAAAGCAAATCGTAAGAGTGAAAATTAAAAAAAAAATCTTACCAGAGAACAAGGGATCCATTTTATCAAAATTTTCCGGTTAAAAGCTCAATATGAAATTAAAGGCCCAAATAACTACGAAGTTGAGATACTTCAGAAGATTCAAAGGAACTAATGCATTTGAGGGTTGAAGATTAGTTACCTTTACTTATATAAAGGGCGCTAATTACCTTGTTTTTGAAACGAAAAATCTCATTGGCTGTGAAAATAGTGACGTTCACCGCAATTACGTGTACTAAAGAGTGGGGAGTCTTCCGGCCTCCATATTGGGGGCATATTACTATAGTTAAGTTTTTTGCGCTTAAAATTTTCCTGTACAATAATAATAATACTGAAAATAAAAATTAGACTGTAAATTTTTTTCCTTTTTTTAATGCTTACTACTAACATCAGACAGAGACAATCGTAATTCCATTGACTAGACAGCAGATTTGAGAAAAATTTTTTATCTTATCAACCTCGATTAAACATTGAAAAAAATATTTTTTTTATAATACTGCTATTGGTCCGTTTTCTTATGATCATAAGCTACTTAAAAATGATTTTTAATCATTTTTATCCCATATTGTTTAAAAAATTGTTATAAACAAATGCGTTGTTTATAAAATAATCATAAATTTTTTTTTGATAACATAATCTTTGATGGAAATTATGATTTTCAAAAAAAAAACCGTTCCTTAAAAAAATTTTTTTATTGTTTAAAAACGCATTTCTTAATTAACTATTTTTTTTAACCACTTGTTATGACAATTAAAGAACGATTTTTTTTTTAAAATCATTATTCATCTTGCTCTTTGATATCTGAAAAAAATTTTTATTTAAAATCTTTTTTATTCTACATTAGTTAATGAACAAATTGAGCTACTAACTGAGCTTGTAACTATATAATTTCAGAAATTATGAAAAAATGTGTCAGAATAAAAAAAAATTTTTTTCGATTCATTGGTTGTATTTTTTTAAGAGCTAAAAATAATCAAGATATTGTTTGAAATTTATTTATTTCATTAAATTAAGAAATTGTATGATAGACAAACTTTAGTGTAAAAGATGAACATATACCCTCATTAAACTAGGATTCGATATTTATCCAAAAATACTCGGTAATTGTTCTTAATTACATCTGGACAATCTGTGACATCAAAGATTTCAATAACAATGACTGAAATTCTAACAATTCGCATAGAAATAAACTTCTTTTGTTCATGAATGAATGTAATTTATGACTCTATATAGATATTTAAGTGATTTTCCGAAAAGATAATCACTAAAAATTTAATGAAATAATAAAGTTTGAGCTCTAGTTTTGTTCTAAATTTGTTGAGTAAGTAATTTAGAAAAAAAAAAGTTTGGAAGAATTTGTTGTATCTGCAATAGTTTATAAGTAACATTAATAATAAATAAAGAAAAGCAGGTGCGAAAAGTAAGTTTAAGTATACAAGAAAACTTCAAATTAAATAAAAAATCGAAAAATCAATTTTTTCCCGAAAACGGATACTGGGCTGTTTTTACAATATTTTTTAGAGTTAAAAAAAAAATAAAAAAAAAAATTTGATTGTTTATAACAAATTGTTTATTGTATAAACAATTAAAATTTGAATAAAAATAAAAAATTTTTTTCAGATATCGAAGAGCAAGATGTTAGTTAAGAAATGCGTTTTTAAGCAATAAAAAAATTTTTTTAAGGAACCGTTTTTTTTCTTTTAAATCATAATTTCCATCAAAGATTATGTTATCAAAAAAAATTTTATGATTATTTTATAAACAACGCATTTGTTTATAACAATTTTTTAAACAATATGGGATAAAAATGATTAAAAATCATTTTTAAGTAGCTTATGATCATTAGAAAACGGACCAATAGCAGTATTATAAAAAAATATATTTTGTCAATGTTTAATCGAGGTTGATAATTTTTAACTTAAGTAAATTGTTAATAACAAAGTGAAAATTAACAATTTTTTAATTTTTCCAACGGCAATCTTTTCTATAGCCTTTGTATGATAGCTCCATAAAAGGATAAAAATCCCAGGTTAATAGTTTAACAACTATCGTACTTTCAATGTTGATGTTCGTGCTACAAAAAATTGTTAATTAATGAATAATTATTTGAAAAATCGCGAGAAAAATTCTTGATCGCCGGATTATTGTTCACCCTTTTTTTTACTAAATTGTTTATAACTTTTGTAATTTTTGCAATCAAAACTCCAAATTTTTCAAAAAGTTTCTCATTACGATGACGAATCGAATGACACCTCGATCATAATTTTCCGAGGCGGGCTAAAAATTTAGACCTAAAAGGCACATGTTGACTAGACTAATAATGCAAAAACAAAATTGAAAAACTGGAAAAATCGCGAAATTTTAAATTTCTATCTTTCGAAAAAAATTTCTTTTACTTTTTTTTCCTTTGGCAGAACTTCGCTTTATGATAAAAAAGAACTTCTGACTAAAGTTCATCCAAATCGAAAGGGGTTGATTCAAATTAGTGGTCGATTTGACATGGAATGACCCATATGTTTTTTGATCTCATTGAAAATTGCAGCTTAAAAATATTATTTTCTATGTTAATTATTTTCTACCTATCTATACATTTATTCTTTAAAATTTTCAAGAATTTATACATAAGAGTATATTCTTGCATAAAAGAAAATTTTTTAACTAAGGTATTTTTTCTTTCTCAGTGTATAAGTATTATTTAAGATAAAATAAATCTAACATTGCAATTTATATATGGTCACATTATCTAAAATTTTATCAATTTATTGTATTGTTGTCGTTTCTTACTTTCGTTAATTACTTTAAGCTCATTACAGGAAACTTACTGTATCCTTTTTCAAGAAAGCCGTACAGAACGTTCAATGATTATCTTATTGAGAATGACCTTTCTTATTTTAATGGTAAATTATAACAAAACAAAAATACGTAAATCCTAACCATGGTGCCACTATTCTTTTTGCTATTCTATAATAGCATCGGGTATTTCCCAGAATTAAAATTAGTATATTACTGCATGTACAAGTATTGCACTTATATTATACTTTACAATTATTTTTACTGTAAAAATACTCGCCTAATCAAACTTTCCAATATGTTAAAAATGAAATTTTTTTTTGCAGTGTACAATTTTGATTTATTTATCAAACTATAATCTATTTGTTCTTTTTTCTTTATTGAGCCAATAATTGCACGCCTCATAAGCGAAGCGTATAAGGTTGTGCTTTATACTCGCCTTACAAAAATCGAGTGATTTCTTGAACTAATCTTGTCTCTATTTATTTTAAATTATTTCAGAAAAATTTTTAAGAAATAGGTATTTATGTCATAAGGCTGTGAAGTGGTTTTCTGACAGCGACGATATTTCGATATGAGCATAACGTTTGTGGTTGGAAGGTTCGAAACGGGCGTAATTTTAATGTCCAAAGGATAGCTTATATAAAATAATAAAATTTAAATTTAATCATTAAACATATAATCAAATATTAAAAATGTATGGTTTGAATTAACAAAAAAATTTTTCTCAAATCTGCTGTCTAGTCAATGGAATTACGATCATCTCTGTTTAATATTAATACTCAGCATTGCAAGAAGGAAAAAAATATACAGTCAAATTTTTATTTTCAGTATTATTATTATTGTACACGAAAATTTTAAGCGCAAAAAACTTAACTATAGTAATATGCCCCCAATATGGAGGGTGGAACACTCCCCACTCTTTAGTACACGTAATTGCGGTGAACGTCACTATTTTCACAGCCAATGAGATTTTTCGTTTCAAAAACAAGGTAATTAGCGCCCTCTATATAAGTAAAGGTAACTAATCTTCAACCCTCAAATGCATTAGTTCCTTTGAATCTTCTGAAGTATCTCAACTTCGTAGTTATTTGGGCCTTTAATTTCATAGTGAGCTTTTAACCGGAAAATTTTGATAAAATGGATCCCTTGTTCTCTGGTAAGATTTTTTTTTTAATTTTCACTCTTACGATTTGCTTTCTATGTATGGATATTTATAATTTACCTTAAAAAATTTTGTTAAAGTATATTACGGAGAGAAAATAACATCTAAATTAATAAAAAATTGTATGTCAGCGCATTTTTGATTCCACCATTTGAAAAGTTTAGTTCAATTTTTTGTTTTATTTTCAAATTAAATCATTTTTCAGTTATTGATGAAAACAATTCGATTTATTTATTAACAGTGTTAATTAGTAACAATAAAAAAATACTATTAATTATTTAATTGAATTATTCTTCAGAATTGAAGGATTTTATTTTTTTAATCAGTTGTTAATTAAAAGTGATATATGTAATCAAATAATGAATTTTAAAGGCCATAGGCCGATAAGTATAGTGAATCGGCCCCAGAAAGATATCTGGCTTATAATTTCAGGGTATGTTGGTACTTATAAGATACTTCGATACTGCAAGTTTCAGCTCTTCATCTAATACCGTTTTCGAGAAAATCGAAAAAAGCTGAAATTAAGAAAAAAATGATTTTCTCAGAAACCCGTGAGCCGATTGATTTGAATTTTTAATATGTTTTGGGGGATGATGGTAGCTTCTAGGAAAAAAATTATGAGCTATATTGGTTCATAAGAACCTCGAAAAAAATGACGTTTTTCTTTTAATTTTAATTTTTAACTATGATAGAGTTCTGGCACAATTATGAAACTATTTTTTTTGAATTCCTCATCCAATTTCCTGTGGAATTATGACTTTTACGAATATTAATAAATGGTACGCCATGTTGAAAAAAAAATAGAAAACCATTTTTTTATTCAAAAATCAAATTATTTTAATGTTTTTATTCAATGAACAGCAGGAATGGTGCTCACTCGAATATTATTCTCGATTATGTATTCGATAACTACGTTTTAATTAATATTATTGTTCCCGCATAATAATTAGTTCATTCAGTAACTGTAAGATGGCACTGTTATTACAAGTCGGTAACCTTATTTTCTACTTTTAATTAAAAATGACATATTGACAAACCAACCTTCAAATTTACTGTTTATATTAAGAAAAAGCTCGGTTTGTTTTTCTATTATCGCTTGTTCCAAAATATAAAAAGGACGTATTACTCTGATTTTATATAAATACAAATATGTCTACGTCTAAAAATAACAATCCAAAATGTTGTGTTTGTTCAAAATTCATAAAAAAAAGTACCTGGTGCTCCAAAACATATAGAAAGTGATGGAGATGCTGCAGAGTTTTCAACTATTTTCGACTGTCCAATTATAGTTGGTGATATTGTGTGCTCATGTTGCCGTGTAAAAAAATATAAAAAAATGAAACGATGATGAAGAAACGGAAACATTTGGAGAAAATGAATTGAATCACAGATATAAGTGATTTGAGTGGCATGTTAGAAAGAACTGAATCAAACTTATCATCAATGACTTTGTCGCAATCAAGCTCTGATGATCCATCATATCATTTGAATTTTGTATCTCATGATACAGAGGAGTGTATTGAAATTCAAATTGAAAGAACTGTTGCTACCCACAGATACTGTTGTGTGTGTAATATTTCAAATACTAATCTTGTACTTGTTCCTCAAGATGCACGTACTCAATGCTTCATCAAGCGACGAATTTTTATTCCGAATGGAAATCGATGCTGCAAAGACCATCTGATAAAAAAACGTTTTTATGAAGAGAATTTAGATAGGCTAAAGGTTTTTTCCAATTGGAGTATTTTAAGATCGTCAGAACTAACCCAACTTATGGAAAACTTGGTTGTTGACTGTAACTCTAAATATCCAAATAGTTCAAATATTGACGGTCATTGATGAAGATAGCGAAGAAGATTAGTCATGAGGATCACAGAAAATCTTTCTTACTATGTAAAAAATAATATATTTAAATATAGCGATAACTAGTGTTTAATGAATAAAAACATTGAAATAACTTGATTTTTTAATAAAAAAATGATTTTCTATTTTTTTTCAACACGGCGTACCATTTATTAATATTCGTAAAAGTCATAATTCCACAGGAAATTGGATGAGGAATTCAAAAAAAATAGTTTCATAATTATGCCAGAACTCTATCATAGTTAAAAATTAAAATTAAAAGAAAAACGTCATTTTTTTCGAGGTTCTTATGAACCAATATAGCTCATAATTTTTTTCCTAGAAGCTACCATCATCCCTCAAAACATATTAAAAATTCAAATCAATCGGCTCACGGGTTTCTGAGAAAATCATTTTTTTCTTAATTTCAGCTTTTTTCGATTTTCTCGAAAACGGTATTAGATGAAGAGCTGAAACTTGCAGTATCGAAGTATCTTATAAGTACCAACATACCCTGAAATTATAAGCCAGATATCTTTCTGGGGCCGATTCACTATACTTATCGGCCTATGGCCTTTATTGCAATACTTAACTAACTCCACTTGAGTCATTACTTTCATATGTATATTATACACTGATAGAAGGAATTATTTGTATTAAATAATATTTGTTAATAGTTAAAAAATCATTTATAAGAGACCACGTTTTAGCATTAAATAAATATTTTTTAGTATTTAAAATGATTTGTTTGTATTTAATAAATCTGATATTCATTTATTAAATATTAATTAATCTTTTTAAATACTAAGAAATACTTGTTGATGACTAAAAAATGGCTTTTAATAAATGATTTGTTAAATATTAACAAATATTTTTAACTATAAACAAATCCTTCTATCAGTTTAGGACTATTCTTGTATACTTTTCACTTAGGAATTCTAATTTTCGTGTAAAAATTCATTGAATTTAATGTACAGAAATTAATAACTCTCCTTTATTTATTACAGGATCAAATTCAAAGCGCCAAGAAAGAACTGTTTTTACTAACGATCAACTTCTTCGTTTAGAGAAAGAGTACATCTCCCAGGGCAAGTACTTGTGTCGTCTAAAAAGAGGCCAAGTCGCCAGAGATTTGGGTTTAAATGATAGACAGGTGAGAAAATTGATAATTGTTTTTTATTTAATTTAAAAAAAATAAGAAAATTAGTAAAATTATGAATGTAATTCGATTGATATATGGTTTTCGAAGTATTTTTTTAATACACATGAGGAACTTGAAGTAATATTGTGAATAATTTAATTATGTTGCATCGGCTTGAAAGGTTTTGAATGAAGAAATTGTTCTTAACTTAAATTGAGTAAATTTAACTTGAGTTACAATTTTTTCTGCTCAATTTAAATCAATAAATTCTTCAAAACAATCTTCTTTAATTGACGTTTCTTTTGTTTAATCAAGTCAATTTTTATAATCAGTTTGTATACGGCCATTTAAATAAAAAAAAAAATGGTGTGTGTACTTATGTACACGCGTCAGAAGTTATACTTCTTTGGCATATAATAAAAAAAAATTTAAAGAAAAAAAAATACAAAAATGATCAAAGAAAAATGTTAATAACAATCAAATAGGTTTTATTATAGTAAAAATTTAGCTATACCGTATAAACATAAAATCATTAATTATCATATGAATTTAATTCAATATTATTAAAGATTTTTCTAAATAAACTAATTTTAGAGCTTCAAAGTATCAATAGTTTACAATCGATAATTAATATTTTAATTATGGAAATTAAGTTAACTGACACATAAAAATTTTTAGAATTTTCACGTAACAGCAGAAATATCATCCTAGGAGTGACCATAGGGAATTTTTGGAGCAGTCATATTTCTGCAAAGAACTTAAAATTAAAAATATTGATTAATAAACTATTATTTTAAACTCGTCGAAAAGAAAAGAATTAATGAATGAATTTGAACCACAATACAAATAAATTTTAAACTAATAAAGAGAAAAGTAAAAAATCTCCATATTTTACAATTCTTTCTCTATCATTCTAAAGTCGATAAATTATTCAATCAGCAACTAACATAAAAAAAGTTTGGAAAATCCAAATGAGCATGCCTTAAGCGCTCATGTCATCCATAAATTATTTAGATCATAACAAAAATTATTCGTTTTTAATTTGAATTTTCCCGCGAGTAGTACTATCCCCTCGGTTAGACTGTCGGTCGAACTAAAGAAAAATTTTAACAGATGATAAAACAGTTAGTAATTATACCATCATGTATTATGTATAGTTTCTGCTTGTTTATAGTTATTTCGATTCTGTTTATGAAAAATAATATATATGGCTGCCAAAATCGCAGAAAAAGTCACCGAACTGACAATCGAAAAAAATTAACTTTATCGAAACGGAATTATTTTGACACGCAATTTTCACAAGGGTTTTGATAAACTTCCTCAGGAATAAAACAAAAAAAAATTAAATCGTGAAAGTGATTTTTGACAAAGTTGTAGTGTTATCAAGCCCATAGCTCCCGTGAATACCACGCTCCTATTCATTTAATTCATCAGAAAAACGAGTTTTCTCTGAGAAATCTTATTTAATCGATAAGAAAATTTTTTTAACGTGTTCTTTCCATTACATTTTTTAAGCATGTTAACCATTAAGGTTTCTTATCCAGTAACTTAACTTTTTTTTTAACAATTTTTTACTACAGTCTATAGTTTTCATATCAGCAGGGAGTTTGTTATAATATTTAATTGCTACATAATAAGCATTCTGGGTACTAATAGTTTTGTTTATTTTTGGTAGAATTAACAGCTTAGATCTTGTATTTGTACATTTTTCATAGAATAGGTTTTTACATTCTTGATAGTAGTAAGTTAATGCATTTATTATAAATGAGTCTCTAATTGTCAAGGGAATATTGTTGTAATTATTTTTACATAGCTTTTTAATTATTTTATGTTGAAGAGATGTGACAGGTTTAATCGAATTGTTATAGGCTCCTCTCCATGCAACAATGCCATAGTTTATTATGCTTTCAAACAGTCCATGATAAATAGTTTTTAAAATAAAAGAATTAAGTACCTGGCTAAGCTTGTAAAAAAGGAAAGTGAAATAGTTAAGCTTCTTAGATAATTCATAGGCATGTTTATCCCACTTCAAGTGTTTATCAAAATTTACCCCTAAATATTTACAATTATCAACTCTTGTCAGAGGCTTACCATTTATTTGTAAATCAAACTTATTTGGGATACTGTCTATGTAGTAGCTTCCAAAGGTAATAAAGGTAGATTTTTCCACATTAAGAGATAGTTGGTTTTCCCTGAGCCATATATCTATTTTATTAAGCCAATCAGTTAATTTATATTGGACTTCATTCCAGCTATTTCCAGTACAAGAAATAGCTGTGTCATCAGCATAGGAAACTATAGCATTGCTTGGTATCACTTTAAAAATATCATTTATGTATAATAAAAACAGCAAAGGCCCAAGAATCGTGCCTTGCGAAACCCCAACTTTAATAGTTTTAGTTTCACTAGTATAGTTATTTAATTTAACACATTGTGTTCTATTGCTCAAGTAATTTTTCAGAAGTTGGTGTGGTATACCACGTATACCGTATTTCCAAAGCTTATCAAGTAAGATGTTATGATTTACCGTGTCGAAGGCTTTAGCCAAATCTAGAAAAGCTAGCACAGTTGGAATGTTTTTATCTACATTATTATATATGCTTTTTGTGGTAAAAGTAAGAGCATCTATTGTATCTCTGTTTTTAACAAAACCGAATTGCTTGTCTGATAAAATGTTATTTTTAGAGCAAAATTCAATTAACCTAGTATGTATAATTTTCTCAAAGAGTTTAGCCAAATTAGAGATAAGTGATATTGGTCGATAGTTGGTCATTAAATGCTTATTACCAGATTTAAATATTGGTATAACATCAGCTTTTTTTAAAGCCTCAGGCCAAATTGTTTTACTTATACAGATGTTAAAAGCATATTTCAAGGGACGACTAATATCCCTTGAAATATGTTTAAGTACTTTACTGTGTATACAATCAACACCTCCTTTTTTATCTTTTAGTTCTAGTATAGTTTTTTCAATTTCAGTTTGACTAGTTGGTTTTAAGAAAAGACTAATACAGTTTTGTTGTATACGCGATTCAATATTACATTCTTTAACTTCAATTTTCTTAGCTAAATTTTCACCTATGTCAGTAAAAAACGTAACAAACTTATCAGCAATAATTTTCTTATCATTAATAATTTCATTATTACATACAATACTGTCAGTTTCATTTTTGTTCATTACATTTTTGCCTAATTTACTGTTAACAAATTTCCATATTTTTTTACTATCTTTACAGAACTTTTTAACTCTATCAGTCTCATACAAATTTTTAGCAGCCTTGATTAATTTACTTAGAATTTTATTATAATTATTATATTCATTTTTTAGCTTAATATTATTTTTATCGCGTTTCCATACGTTATATAAGAGCTCTTTGGTCTTGCAGGAGATCATTATACCTTTTGTTATCCAATTGCTTCTAGCTACAGTATTGCACTTTTTATTATTCACTATCTTTGTAGAATCTTTAATTATCAGATTTAATTTATTGATGAAGATATCAAAAAATTCTTCTGGATCTTGTATATTTAATAGTGTAGACCAGTTAGCTTGATTACTTAAATTCTTTAGTCTAATATAATCTATGATATAACACTCGTGTTTATTTTTAAGATGATGCGTATCAACACTTAAAGATACAAAGATCGGGTAGTGGTCTGTAAATACATTAGTATAGGTAAAAGATTTAATATCACTAAAATTAGTTTTTATAAATATGTTGTCTATGCATGATCCTCCTAAATCATGAGGTCTAGTAGTTCCATTGAAATAAGGGAGGTAACCATTATCAAGAAGAGTAGACATAAATAAATTTGTTATTTGATCAACACTTTGAAGATTAAAATTAAAGTCCCCAGCAATAACATGATTTTTTCCGTGTTTATCCGATAAATATGTTGATAGTAGATTAACAAAAGATTCTTTATTTACATCATGACATCTGTATACACCCGATACCTTGATGGATTTATTGTTATTTAGTTTTATTTTGACTGAGACAATTTTTAAATCACCAACTACTTCCGTCATTGGTGTATATTGGAATGACTTTTTCACATACATAATAACACCATCAGCTCTATTAATATGGCTGTGGTTGTAATAGATATCATAATTATTAAGCGAGTAGAAAGAGTAACACATAAGTGACCAGGTTTCCGAACATTATACAATGACATCAGGTTTTATAGTTAAATTTTCAATAAATATTTCTAGTTTTTCAAAGTTAGAATTTATGCTTCTCACGTTTAAATGCAGTATTAATAAATTTTCAATGTTAAGAGAACTGTTTAAACTATCCAAATCACTATAACTATTTTCAATTTGTATATCAAAATTATCACTCATTAGGATTGCAGAGACTTTAGTTTATTCCCTACCTTAACGATATTGGAATTTCAGGTTTAGTTGGATAGTCATAATTATTTATCAGATTATTAAATTTGAAAATAAGATAAGGACAGCATGTTTCGTTTGCACAGTGGTTAGTTGGTCTGTTTTTTTGATACTTATTATTGTAAAAAACACAGTTTACGCATTTTTTTTCTTGTTGTTTACATTCACTAGTTAGATGATCACCAGCATAAATTATACACTTAACTGAGTTTAGACATTTTTTATGATTGTGATTCAGTCTACCACATTTACTACATAAATTGATGTTAAAAAAGTCGAAAACACGACACCGTTGATGACCTATATAAATTTTAAAATCATTGTTTGCGAGATATAAGTAAGTTTCAGGAGTGACTTCCAGAATGAGTGTCCTTTTGCCAATATTATTTTTATAATCTGCCACAATGTTAAAAGCAGCATCTAATTCCAGGAAGTTTCTGTTGTTGATGTCTTCACACAGGTCTTCTTTAGATAAATTATTATCAACATTGATGACTTTAACTTTTGGTAATTTTAAATGTTCTATCTCAACACTATAATCACTGCCAAGTTTATCACACAACACTGTTTTAGCTCTCGCAACATCGTTGTTATTCTTACAGCAAACAGACTCCATTCCTTCATTATTTTTTTTGACATAATTAATTGGAATCACCATATCATCCGTAATCTTATTCTTAACTTGTTCTAGTGTCTCATTATTGTTATTATCTTTGTGTTTAACCAATATCTTTGGTATTTTAACATGTATGTGTGTGTTACTTTTGACAGCACTAGCATACGTACTTTGAGGTTTGTTAATGTAAGAGTCACTATCGATAAGAGCATCTAAAATCTTATTTCTAGCTTGAAGTTCTGTATTAAGTTGCCTGAGCAACTCATTCTCCATCCTAATAGATGTTAATTCCTCAGTATCAGCAGCTTAATTCACTTATACCAGATTAATTTTTCGACTGATTTAGAGATATGTTATTGCATAACTCATTACGTAGTTCTTCCTTCTCATATAATTTAATTTGTGTAATTAATTTTCGTGTGTTTTCGTCTAGCGTGTTTACATCATATTCAATTTTCGTGGTTAGGTTGTCCTGATGGTGATTCGGGCAAATAACCAGCATATCACTTAAGTAATGACCTTTTGTATATTTATTAAAATCACCTTCATGATATACATTTTCACAAATAATGCAGATAACTATTTAAGGAACTTTAGACATCGGATGGCACTTAAAAACTTTGCACGAATTTTCAACGTTACTTGGTGTGCCGGCCATCTTGGATATTTATCAAACGTTTTTAATATTTAAAAATATAAAAAATAATTATGCTGCGATATAATTTGGTCTTTCTCAATAAACGTTATTATAATGCAATATAATTAATGCAAATAATTAATAAAGATTATTTTTGTTTATAAGCAATCTTGATATTATATGATGTCTATGATATTATACGATGTCTAAATTACTTGAGATATTATTGAGAACACCGACTGATGACTAAAATATTGATATTGAAAATATTAAAATATTGATTAAAAGAAAATTATTATCAAGTTAAATAAAAACTAAAATATTTAATTGACCATTTTTTAGAATTGATTATTAATATTATGAATAATATATTTCATATTAAATGGTATTTCTATCGAATTTGAAAATAACAACGTTTCGTTGGATACTTTGCAACTAACCTGTATATGAGTTAACTTAGTCATTTAAAAAAATATATACTTTTAATTCTATTCTGTGGCCAACTTCATTCTGTTAATTTTGTGTCACGGTGCGCGCGCATCGTAAAATTTTACTCTCATCAATTTTTCATAACGCGCCTAAAGAAGTATAACTTCAAAAATTATTCAATTTAATAACTTCATTTTTTTTTTTTTAATTAATCTGCATTTTTATTTTTAATTTTTTTTTGTGGACAACAAAATTAATCAGAGAATATTTTTTTGACTTTCAAAATCAATCTTTATAATTTTTAATAAATATCTATAAAAGTTTATGCATTAATTTTTAGTCAGCCAATCGATGAGTTGATAGTTGTAAATAATAACTAATATGAAATGATTGATAAGTGAAACTAACATAATTTTTTTACAGGTTACAGTCTGGTTTCAAAATCGTCGAGCGAAAGATAAAAGAGTTAAATCACTCAACGACGATGAAAACAAGGAGAAGGTTCCTATGGCTGCTTTGCCCAGTACCAAAATTGGATGCAGGATGATACAAGAGGAAATCAAGAAAGAAAAAACATACCAGAACACCGGGTTAGTCGCTTCTGTTCCTGTTCCTGCTCCAGTTATTATTCACGGAGAGCATCAAATGCATACTCTCAACTACAGCAGCAATTCATCTACTGGCATCCCCCAACATAATCACCTAAGTAGTTGGGATTCCTACAACAGAATCAACTACGACACAATTCATAATCAGAATTATGAAAATTTTAATGGTCCTGACTGGAACTATAACTACATCAATGAACATTGTTCAGTTCCCAACGGATACGCAAACGAAGCTAAAGCTAAGGGAGCATTTCACACTCATTATTTAAGTAATTGCACTTCTAATAATGGTGATTATTATTATCCGCCTGGTTGGAACAAGTAGATTGTTGATCTAAATCCAAATTGTTCTGGATCATCCCCTCAATCAATTATTCGATGCCATTCAAATATAATAAAATTGTTTTATATTTTATTGATACTGTTTTGTCACATATTTCATTAAGTTAGATAATTGTAAAAAAAAAAAAATTCTACAATAGTTAGTAATTTTGAATAAATATTGTCAAATTACAAATTGTTGTTATTCACTGCGTTATATTTATTAAATTTTTTTTTCATAGTTTTTTTTGCGAGTTCTCAAAATCTTCTGGTCCGAATCGGACCAAATTGTATTCAAAATCTGAGTGGCCAACCACGATGAAATCGATCAAGCCGTTTACAAATTATAACAGGGTTGCATATATACACACAGAGTATGTCAGGGAAACTTCCTGGGGCCTCAGAACGTCGAGATCTAACGAGAATTCGATTTTTGCAAAACGGGGTAAAACCAATAACTTTCTGATTTTTTTTAATTTTCAATTTTCATAGCAGAAAGTTAAAAAAAAATTTTTCGTTTTTTTTTGGGGGGGGGGGGGCGTCGTGCCCAGAAAAAAAACTTTTTATTTTAATTTTCTGCAAAATTACAAAATGAAATAACCGACTTAACGAGGCCGTGATGTCCCACTCTTTTCTAATAAGAACAAACATTATACAGTGGATTTACTGAAAGAAAAAATTTATCTCCATAAGAATTAGCTATGTTGTATAGTAAGAAATTAATTTGTTAAAAGATTTTAAACAATTTCATTTTTTCGCTGAAAAAATAAAATTAATTTTTCACAGTAACCTTCTTGTATAACAAAAGCTTATATTGGGTTTGGGAAAAAATAATTTTAGGTTGACTTCTTGCAAATTTCCATCTATAAAAGGGAAAATTACATAATGAATAGTAATAAGTGTCCTCTTTAAATTTAAAATTAGAAAAATTGCATTCCAAAATAACATTTTTTAAATTTAAGCTATGAATGTTCATTTATACAAATACTTAAAAAGTTTTACAGCATAAAAAAAGTTAACCATATTTTCCACTAAACATCTCAATATTTTAAACAATTTTTTATAGTCCAAAAACATTTTTGTACATAGAAAAAAAAAATTAACTCAAATCAAGAAAATGATTTTAAAGAACTTTATATCGTCTTAATTTCAGTAGAAATATTATCAAACTACGAAATTTTTTTGGTTCAAGTAAATTTTACTTGATTAACAATTTTTTATCTTCATTCATGACAATAGAACTCTTCAAAACTATTTCTTTTGTTCATGAATTCTTTTATTGATTAAAATTTTTTTTTTTATGTTAAATATTTTAAAATTCATTTTATAATTTACATCTTCAATTTACTCTGAGAATAAGAAATATTTGAAAGCATGTCAGTTAAGAAGCTTAAGAGTTCTCGCAAATATTTCCCACAAAATATTCTAATTAATCTACATATTTCTAGAAGTAATTAAGGGATTAGGGACCCTTGGCACCGGGTCAAAGACCCGGACCCATGACTTCACTTAATTGCTCTCTATCTTTATCTCTCTCAATTTCCTCAACTAATATACTCCGAATCTATACCTAGGCCTACGTAAGTCCCTACTCTTACCTAGTTATATCTAGCTCTACTTATATGTACCCCTATTACGAGTGTTACCATCGGTACTCTTCTCCAAACAAAGTAAAGATCGGATGACCCCTAAGCTTCATACTATAACTTAGCAAATTGAAATATTGAATCAGCACCAAGTTCACTTGAACGATTCTCTTACTTTCCAAATCAATAAATTTAATGTAGAAAAAAAATTTTTGGCACATATACATTACAGTAGGCTATATTCTCTTAATTAAATTACTTCTTTATGAATATTTATTACAGCATCAAGATAATGGGATTTTTTTTTTGCATTATAAATAAGACTAAAGTCAACTAAAGTAAAATTTTCAGACTTTTTTTTCATACCTAGGTACTTAAATGTTATCATCATGTCACAAAAGAGTATCATTGTATTATTTTTGACAATAACATCAAAGAGTCATTGTTTCCTACTTGGATCTGAATAAATACATTCACTTAAAATCTTATTTAGGAAAAATCAAGTAGTCTTAAGGGATCATTTAATGATCTAATACAATTTGCTAAATATGACCTGACTAAGGATCTCTCAGACTATAGACTTTCCACTTCTATTTCCTTCGACCCTACAAAAGTAGAAGAACCAAATGGCAAGCGCTGGTATACTGAAAGGAGGGATAAGACCCTAATAAATTTTTCGAAGAAGGGAGCCGAAAAAGGTTACCTTGTGAATTGCCCCAAGAACTCGAATCATTCTTACGCTAGAATTCAAAGCGCAAACATCTTCAAATTCAAAACCTTACTTTCGTAAAGTAAAATTGTCTATTATTCAATTACTCAAGTACAAAAATGGCAGTGAACAGTGGTGATTTAAAAGAAATCCAAAAATTGGTGAAATCCGGAAATTTGAGTGTTAACAGAATATTTTATTGGGATACGTATAAACAAATAAGTGTCCTTCAGTTCGCAATCGTGAACTCATGCAACGAACTCATCGACTTGTTATTGGATAATCACGTTGACTTGAAGCTCAGCACTAAATTTTTGGGAACGGCGCTACACGTGGCGATCAAGGAAAAGAAGCTCGACGTCGTGAAGAAGTTGGTATCTTCCGGAGCTAACATCAACATAATGCTACGCTTCTGTGAAACCCTGCCACCACTTCACCAAGCCATTGAAAGTGGTACCTATGACATCACCGAGTTTCTAGTGATGTCAGGAGCCGACGTAAACTTGGTACCGTACAAACTCAAAATACCATTGGGGCTCTGCAACTGGTCTCCTCTAAACTTGGCAATTTTATTGAAGAATATTCCTGTGATTAAATTGCTATTGAAGCACAGCGCCATCATCGATCAAGGATCCAACGAACTACGCTCTTCCTTACAATTGGCTGTATTAGGCATCAGCAATATTGAGATTTTCCAAATTCTGGAGAAGTTTGGAGCCAAATTCGAAATAATTAAGGACGGGGAATATACTTTGGAGTTCAATGAAGTTGTCAAACAAGATAACGTAGAAATTTTCAAGCTTTTTGTTAAAAAGTATGACAATTTTTTCGATATTTCTGATTTGCACGCTGATACCATTGCTTATCAAGTTGTTGTGTTCGGCGGTAAAAATATTTTACGATATTTACTGGACTGTGGGATAAGTGTTAATGTGGTTGACAAGAATAACTCAAGTTTGCTTGATGTCGCCATGGATATAAATATCGTCCAGACTCTTCATCATGAAAGAGCGGATCAGTCTTTGGAAATAATTAAAGTGATCGAGGATCACATCATCAAGTTATCTGCAGCCGGTTTATATGTTAACAAAAGAAATTCAAAAGCTGTAGATAGTAAGCATTTCAAATCGTTCCGTGAGAAGTGCGAGAAGGAAATAAGTGAATTGAAAACCAGAAAAATAAGTGACACTAATTTTAATTATTTCGATGTAGTAGTTAAAAATGTACATAGATTAGCTGTAGGATTAAGACATTCAAACTTTTGTTTTAACGAAGACGAAATATTAGCTGATTTTCCTGTGTACGGTAGCATTATGATTGAAAAATTAAGAAAAGCGGTTGAGAGAAAAGAGCTACTGAAAAATGCAACCGAGTTGTACAATATTTTGTATAGGGATTTACCAGATTTAGTTTTAAGAAATATTCTTAATTATTTGAACGATACAGATTTAAAACTTTTGAGCCAGTAATTGTATGGATGTGTGAATGTATATAAATAATATTGTAAATTTATTAACATAATCTAGATTAAATTTTTTTAGTGTAAATAACAAAGTATTTTAGTTATTTAAACATAATTGATTTGATTTTTTATTCTTATATTTATCCCTACAACTCAAATAATTTTTGTCTAGTATTAAAAAATTTTTACATAGTGTAAAATGAAATTTTTTGTTCTAACTAAAAAAATTTAACTTTCAATAGTTATCTTAAAGTTTGATATAAAAATTAACCATATTAAAAATTTTTTTATAGTTATTTCTAATCACTTTTTAATCTCTTAATTTCAAAAATATTTAATCATTTGATTTATTGACTTATAAAATTTCCGAGCTATCAGTTTAACTAAAACTTTCGATACTCTATTATACAAAGAAAAAAAAATTATTTTCCGAAACAATTAATATTTATTTTTGTAAGAAGATAACTGGAATGGTATACAGCACTTGCACATAAGCATAAGCTAAGAAGAATAATTACATAAATAAAAGCTAAGTGCGAATTTTATTAAATTTTGAACCAGTGTGCTAGTCAAAAAATAAGTAAAATTTTGAGTCGAAGAAAAATAAATAATTTCCCATTAAATAAGCGATTTTTTGTTTTATTTTAGTAATCAATATTTATATATTTTAATAAATAAAAACAATAAATATTTTCAAGAAGAATTATTCTTATTTAGAATAAAAAGGTTGTGTTTGAATTAAGATTATATAATTTAAATTTCCTCCACCGCCAGTTACCTAAAAAAATTTACCTTACCGACAACTAATTTCTTACTTATAATAACTTAGAAAACTTAGAAGACAGATCAATTGTCGTTCTTTTGTAATGTTTCATGGGTTACAGTTTAATTTTTTTCATAAATATGATATTTAAATGTTTTAATGTGTGTATTTTATTATATAGAATTTACTATTATTTGACATACATTAAGTGTTATGTATGAAGTATTAAATGTATATAACTTGTTAGAGAGCAAGTTACTTTTTGAATTTCTTTACAATTATTACATTGGCTACATTTCCGTTCGGAAATATGACGCCAAATGATGACCCCAAATATGACGCACGCGCTTGCGCGCGCAAATTTAAATTCTAGTCCCATAATAAAATTGAGATGAAATGTATGTGGCATGAAACTATTCGTAACGTGATTGGTCAAATATATCATAAACATGAAAATATATGCAAACTCTATACAGTCAAGGCA